AACCACCTCATTATAGCCCTGAAAGGTTTTTTTTTGTTTGTTTTTTTTTCCAAAATTAAGTCAATTTATTTTTGACATGTCAAATTGTGGAATCATATGGTTAAAGGAAACACAGTTAGTGACAGAAGTCTGCGATAGAATGAAACAAATCTTGAAGGAGCTTTATAAATGTTTAAAAATGTCTCTGCAGGGCAACTTTGGAGAGGTGTACAGCGGCCGTTTACGCTCTGATAACACTCCTGTAGCTGTGAAGTCCTGCAAAGAGAATCTGGCTCCAGAGCATAAGAGCAAGTTCCTGATGGAGGCCAGGTCAGTGTGTCTCCAAACACACACACACACACACACACACACACACACACACACACACACACGCACGCACGCACGCACGCACGCACGCACACACGCACACACACACACAGATCAATCAGCAGCAAAGTCTCTGAGACGCCCTTGTATCCTGCAGGATCCTGAAGCAGTACAACCATCCGAACATCGTAAAGCTGATCGGCGTCTGCACACAGAAACAGCCCATCTACATCATCATGGAGCTCGTCTCAGGTGAACACCATCTCTACATCTTGAGCTCTGTCTACTACTCGGCTGCATCATTCACTCTCTGTTTTTAACGTTTCCAGGCGGGGATTTCCTCTCCTTCCTGCGGACCGAGGGTCACAGTTTGACGCCTAAGATGTTGGTCAAAATGACGGAAAATGTAGCAGCAGGAATGGAGTACCTAGAGATTAAGAAGTGCATCCACAGGTTGGTGGCAATGTGTTTTACTGATAAAATAAATCACCAAAAAATCCTTCCTGTGTCTTTGTACAGTGAGTTTTATTTTTGCACATTTTTCCAACTAGGAAAAACTTGTGAAACTTTGAAAGCAAGGCTGTGATTTAGTTTAGTTTTCTTACAAAAGCAGCACGGATGATGAAAGATTTAAGGCAAGATCTTCATTTAGCCAAAAGGAAATGTCGTTCCACCCGTAATAAATGAAAGGTAAAACTAATATTTCACACGACTCACAAAGCTTTAGGAATGTTTAATTAACTTTAACAACTAACATGCATTCAAACAGCAAAAACTGTATCCATGTAAAAGAGTTGTGGGGCGCTGAATGCCGCCACTGAATGCAAAAACAAAAAATGTCAGAATTTAATTATTCAGAATAATGAAAAAGTTTAATTTTAAAGGTATCACATCTTGGAGGCATTCATGTGACCTCTGTGACCTTTTAGTTGAATGGATTTTGGCCATTTTCACTGCTTTCATTCCTTCTTTGAGGGGACCTCCTGCAAAGTCACTGAGGTGAAGCTTTTAACCTTTGGAGTGCTGCCAGTCGTCTTCAGGTCATCATTCGTCTTTTTCTTCTCTGCCAACTGCTTCTTGCTCAGTCCGAGTGTGTGGGTTAAAGCTGCTGAAGGGTTGGTGTGAAACTTTAGGAATGGAGCGTTGTCCATGTTTATTGCATGTTCCATTGATTTTACAGAGATGAGAAAGCTTTCCTGCAGCCCAGCACCCTGAAACCATCCTTGACCTCACTCAGTGCTTCACAGCGGTGGTTCCCACTGCGGCATGCAGCTTTCATCCGACAACAAGCACACAGAAGTGTTTGAACCAGGGATTTCGCTTAGTCTCTGCCCCAGCCATCATCCCTCCAGTGCAGTTTTTTTTTTTTAGCTGATTCCTTTTGTGAATCTATAATGTGCAAGAGCGGCCGCAAAACCGGAACGTCAGAAATGGATAGTTGAGCTCAAACAGCAAAGCTGTCACACTCAGAGAAACTCAGCCACTGCAGAGGAAATGAGTCGGAGCTGCTGCTGCAAGGAAGGTCAGAGTGGGGTGATCCAGAGCGACGGCCTCCTGTACTCCAGCTACAGAGTGCTGGAAAAAAATGTTTGTTCCCTTTGTGATTTCTTTTTGCACTTTTGAGTGTTTCAGAACATTAAGAACAACACAAGTAAACACAAAACACAATTTTTTAAATGGTGTTTATTATAAGGGAAAGAATGATCCAAAAGTGGTGGTGGTTTATCTCTGTCTCTAGCCACACCAGCACCACTGCTCTCAGTGAAGATTGCCTGACATCAAATTACTCTCAAAAGCTAGACATTATGCCTAGATCAACAAAAAATTAGGAGCAAGTAAAGAAAGTAATCGAGAACTATCCGTCTGGAAAGAGTTAAGTAATTTCTACAGCTTTTGAACTCCACTGAACCACAGTGGGAGCCATTATCCACAAATGGCAAAAACATGGAACAGTGGTGAACTTTCCAGGATCGGCTGGCCAACAGAAATTAAGAGTACAGCGACGACTCACCCAAGAGATCACAAAACAATCCCAGCACAGCATCCAAAGAACTGACGGCCTCACTTGCCTTGGTTTAGGTCAGAGTTCATGTCTTCACCAAAGGAAAGAAGCAGAAATGGCCGCATGACAGAGTTTCAAAACAAAAACCACAAGATCATTACAGCTCGTCTCAGAAAACATCTTGATGATTCCCAGGACTTTTAGGAAAATATTCTGTGGACTCATGAGAAAAAAAGTTTAACTCTTTAGATTTCCATAGCACTGAGATCAGGACATCAACTCCAAAACATTGATTTTGTTTCCTTAAGACAATTTGTAACAAGATTTCGTCTATGCTTAAAGTCGTTATTCATTCAGAAGACCCATGTGTTCTTAAACAGTAACTTTGTGGCTGATATTTTGAGATATTGCTTCACTTTTTCAATTTAATATTCTTCCTCCATGGAGCCATCTTTCGTAAAGTGCACCAGTCCCTCCTGCAGGGAGGGACTGGTGCTCTGGGACATGATGCTGCCAACCCTACACTTAATACTTGGGATGATGTTTTCAGCCTTGCAAATGTAACAAAGATAAAGCTGTCCAAACAATTAAATGTTTATTTTTTCAGATTACACAGATTTTTGTTGCTGAATGCATTTGTAAATCTGCCGTTTTAGAAAGGCTTCCTGCTGAGTCGCCTTTGAACCAACAGGATTTCTCTCACTGTAGATTTGGGTTTCCCAATTTGAGCACAGCAACACCAAAAGCAGAACATGAGAGAAATAAAAGTTAATTATTTTATAATTTTCAACCATAACCCTTATGTTAATGTTGAGTGTTGGAAATATTTCAGAGAACAAGAGCAGCTCAAGCTCCTCTGATGTGGACTGACATATAAGCCCTTAAATTACCACACAGACATCATCAAACTGTCAACTTTCCTCACAACACTTCCCCATGTGTTGTCATGACAGTTTACAAAACAGGAATAAAGGAATTTCCTCAAATAAAAAGTGAGAAAACTCCTCTGTGACTCGTTGCCGTAGGCGTAATTTAATGACACAAGCATTCAGTTCTGCATCGGATTAAACTGAAAAGGCAGAATTGTTCAAGGAAACTTAATGTAAGCAGTCAAGATCTTAAGAAGTAAAACTTGAATTATTCAAACTGGAAGAGGCGACTTTAAACACAATATGTCAGCAAAAGTGATAAGAAACAAACCTGCAAATGTTTAAATGCGGTCAACTCAATATGTCACGAATTTTCATAATATCCGACGGTTTTTGCTATTATTTTGTTCTCGACATTTTATTCCTGCACTTGATTCAGGAGGCAGATTGAGCCTAATAGATGCCAGAGCCAACGTGTCGACCAGATTCAGCAGATGGGAACAATTTGCACCAATTTTTAACTTTTCACCCAAAAATAGAGCAGAAGTGATCAAAGAAGGAGAAGAAAATTATAATATAATTTTTCTCTGTAATTTTCAGGGAACGCCAAGTCCTGACCTGATTAGGTTTTCTTCAGAGCTTTAAGAGCAACATCGGGTCTCACTAATGCTGCTAAATCAACGTGATGCTGCGGATTGAAAAAGGCAGGAATGATGCAACTATTTTACTCATTTGGAGATAGAAAATAAATATGCATGACATTTCAGGAGCCCGTAGTAACTTATAACTGCATCAGACTGCAAAACAAGCAGCCTTGTTTTGCAGTTATGTTAATTTCACTTGGTGAATAAAAAATATATATTTGTTTTCTGAGAGTTTATTATTTTTATAATTTTGATTTATCTCTGCAGCTGAAGAGTCTGTTTTCTTCACAATCATAAACTTTTATTTTCTGTATTTTAAAAAGCATTTTAAGAATGTAGACAATTTATTGAATTAGAAGCATTATTATTTGCATCTAGCATAGCTCCCTGGAGGAGAGGATACATTATATCTTCTGCAGCATCTATGATTTGATGTTTTTCCACACATTTATTTTTCTTTCCAGCATCACAATTCTCACTGCTTTTCAGAAAATTGTAGTTTTTATTGCAAACTGCTCTGTTCTTTTGAAACTGTTTGCTTTATTTTATATAAATATGAAGAAAAGTATGCAGAATTTCCCTTATGTGCACACGCGGTGCTCCAGTGAAACATAATCAAACTTCCTGCAGAGAAAGGCTTTTTCACAATGATTTTAGGAGCAGCTCTGCATCTTCGTTCCAGGAAAGAAGTTATTTTATTCTGTTAGCAGAATGTTTGTTCTCATTTGTGAGCTAATTGAGAAAAGTCCCATTATCTCTAGTTTGTCTGCGCACAGATTTAACAGGTTCTTTATTCAGACTTGAAATGTCCTTGTAGCTCGTTTGAACAAAACCTTAAAAGTAGAGATAAATTCAATTGAAAATTTCTGAAAACAAGAAGATTCTGGAGAGTTAAACAGTGGATGTGGGTTGAGGAATAGAGGCATCATGAAGCTGTGGGAGTTGTGGAGAGGAAGAGGATGAGGAGGAGGAGGAGGAGGAAGAGCCGGCGATTGTGATATCTGGCTGAGTACAGTTCACACAGCGGGAACAGATCAGAGCAGGTTTCTGGAAGAATGGCTGCTCAGCCTGCATCACAGAATGTCAAAATGAACCCACATAAAACACCAGACACGTTTTCTCTTTCTTTTTCAGCACCGCCTGTTCTCTCCCTCCTGTTTCTTCTGCAGAATATGATTTTCTCTGTTTTTCTCCCCTAATACATGCGTTTCTTTTTTTTTAGGGACCTCGCAGCCAGAAATTGCCTTGTTGCAGAACGCAACGTGGTGAAGATAAGCGACTTTGGGATGTCCCGCGAGCGAGATGACGGGGTCTACTCTGCAGAGGGGGGTCTGAGGCAGATCCCCGTCAAATGGACCGCTCCAGAGGCCCTGAACTATGGTAGGCCAAAATAATTTCACCCTTACTGCACTTTGCAAACTGCAAACCGTCAAAAGAACGCAACACTTTTTCCTTTGCGAATGCTGCCCCCTGCTGTCTCTCTCAGGTCGCTATACCACTCAGAGTGATGTGTGGAGCTTTGGGATCTTGCTGTGGGAGACGTTCTCCATGGGGATGACGCCCTACACCAGCATGAACAACCAGCAGACGCGTGACGAGGTGGAGAAAGGTAAAGACGTCTCTCGGCCTGCGGAGGATGAACGCTGGAGTTCAGATAATGCTGCGGAGAGCTGATGGTGAATCTTGTTGCAGGATACCGGATGCCCGCGCCTCACGGCTGCCCCATGGAGATCTCCAGGGTCATGAACAACTGCTGGCAGTATGACCCCAAAAACAGACCAACCTTCAGGAAAATTCGGGCTGAGCTCAATGCTATACACAACAAAATCACATGATGCAATCCTCTGTCATAGGCTTTTTCTGTCTGTTTTTATTAGTAATCTATGCACTTGTTTAATATATTTAGTTTCCTTCTGGTGAAGAGTTGAACACTGAAGAAGAACTCAAATAAAAAAAGAAAATCTATGGATCTGACTGGGCTTTTTTCTGACTCTTTGTGGTGTGAAAACTATAGGAAGAATTACTTTTAGAGGCGGGAAGTGTGTTGGTTGGCCTCCGGCGGGCGTTTTTTTCTCTTATTTTGACTTTTCCAAAGTCGCCTTCAACACAAGAAAACTTCTTTTCAGACAGAGAAAAAGAGAGAGAGAGAGAAAGAGAGAAAGAGAGAGAGAGAGAGAAAGAGAGAGAGAGACAGAGAGAGAGAGATCTCCAGTTGTATCGTCCAGCAAAGCCTCTCTGAGGAGTTGAGGGGCTTTTGTATAGCTTTTTTCTAAACACTGCAAAAGAAATGTAAGAGTCTAATCAGAACTAACAATCTTTAACCACCTAAAGGATGAGGCTTTATGTTTTCAGCTGGATCAAAACAGCAGCTCGGTTGGCCCTGTGGGGCTCTGCTGTGAGAGCAGGAGGAACTTTGAAAAATACAACAAATCTACAGATCTGGTGATGCATCTTCATGCAGCATCAAATACATTTTTGTCTTTTTTTTTTTTGCTTTTAAGACATTAGGTATTTTCAGGATTAAAGGAATCACATAAAAAAAATGCTGAATTTCAAAAACAAACATTTGTACACACAGGGACTGATATGATACATGCACTTTTGATCATCTCTTATGTTTGTGTAAATGTCCTTTTGAAAGTTTTATTTATTGCCACCATCAAGTTTCTGGCACCATAGCTATAAGAGTTCATTTAAGTTTGCTGGTTTCCTGTGTGGATCTGGTTTTGAGAATAAACCTTACGTTTCTAAAGGTTTGAAGCTGATACCATTCGAGAAGCTTAATGCAATTCTGCTGTATTTAAAAATCTTTTTTTATATATTTTCAAATCATTGAAAACTCACTTTGTGTTCAGGTTTAAGCCAGCTGACCTAAACTCTTACTTCCAGATGTTAGATAATAACCCAGGACTCGCCATGGAAACTGCAAAGGAAATAAAATTTAATCCCCAAGGATCGAACGGAGATGGACAAAAATGAAACCTTCAAGCTCGACTGAAATTTGCAGCTGCCCACATGGATGCCTTTTTGCTAATTAAGACTGTCAAACTTCCATAGATTTAGCAATTTGGCCTCTGTGAGCAGAATATGTTGCAGTAAGTGTGGGATTTAAGACAAAGTAACAGAACTGTAAAGCATGGTGGTGGGAACATCATGCTTTGGGGCTGCCCGGCTGCCATCTTTTTCAACATATGATTGAAACTTGGACGCAACTGGATAATTAATTTAAACATACATAAAACTAAGTTTGGAATAAATGAAGCGGACTTTCATCAAGCTTCAGGAACCCAAGTGAAAATAAACTACAATACAAAGGCTTCTTTTATAAAGAAAAGTGATCAAATATCCAGCAGAAAATGTGGCAGAGACTTTCAGGCAGCATTAGTGTTTTAAAAGCTGAGCTTTTAAAACATACACAAAAATGTTCAAACTTGTGACCCAGGTATTGCTTTTAAAATTGACCGAGGTAATTCGTTGTAGGATCACAGAGAAAAGACACGAAAAAATTACAAAAAACGCTCCCAAAATATTCCCATGGCGAGTACGTGAATTTATTAATTAAAATTGTTCCCACTACAGAGATTCATAAAATCCAGACGTCCTAATCTTTCTAGATTCATTCGATTCAAAGTTGTAATTCAAAACACAAATAAGCAATGAGTTGTAAGCTGAGGGTGTGTCCAAACCTGTTTCAACATACTCATCTGGAGCCGATCCAGTTTCCCTGGATCATGCAGAGAAAGAGAAAGAGAAAGAGAGAGAGAGAGAGAGAGAGAGCTATAAAGCTGGATGAGTTATAGTCCCTGCTCCAGTCCCACCTCTCAAAGATTGTGCAACGCTTTGCAACTTTCTCAAATAAAGAAGGGGTGGCAGTTTGCTTTTAAACAAGAGAGATGGCCTGGTGCTGGTGCAGAAGCCTGCAGCTGGAGAGATAAGCTTAGAAACCAGTGATAACTGGGATCTCACTTTAAACAGATCTACATACTTCATTTAGTAATCACTGAATTGTTTAATTTAGGTTTTACATAATGTATCAAAGATACAGCACAACTGTGCATGTTAAAAAAAACAGCAAACAAAGTGATGCATGTATAAATGATCTTAAATTACAATTTGCTTAACTCCTTTAAAAATATCCCAATGAAAGAGAGCTTAGTGAACTAGTTCCAGGTATGAACGCAAAGTGAATCACTTTCATTCAGTTTACTGTTCCGATTAAAGAAAAAAAAAAAAGTAAAACGACTCAAAAGGCTTCCCATACTATTTAAATAAACAGCTGTCAGGGAAAATAGTTTTTAGTACATGGAAATACTTTCATTACCTTTCTTGTTTTTTTCCCCAAAAGATGAACAGCAATTAGTTTTAGCTGAGAGAGAAATTTCCTTGGAAACATTTTCCCTAGAGGGCAAAATGTTCTGTCATTATCAGCTGCAGCATCTCAGGAGGAGTGAAAATTATTTAAAAGAGAGCGTTCATTTCTAAATTCAGAGAGAAAATTCATGTAATGAGAGTAAATTAGTTTGGGTGCAGCACTAGGAGAGAATCTTGACACGAAACTGTCCTTTAGTAAAGAAACACGTGGCACGTTTGCACTTAAATATTAATAATAATTAATAAAAACTACACTTAAATATTTTTTGATCTGTATCCAGACAATTTTTAGTTTTTTTTTTTTTTTTTCCAGTTTCCATTTGTGTACAAAAGACAGGTGGAAAAACAAAGACAAAAAAAGTATGAATCTGTTTTAAATAAATAAAATTTCAATCATTTTTCAGGGTCAAAATCTGCAGCGACGTTGTTTAACTTTGAGGTGAATATAAATCATCTTATAGAAGCCGAGATGTGAGCAGTGTAAAGGCAGACGCCAGTGAGCTGCTGCTGACACTTTTGAAGCAGGAGCCACGTCAATTACAGCTACAACATAAATAGATACAGATGCATTTTCTAACTTAAGTGGTGAAATGTTGCTACTTCATTCACATCTATGACCAGTTTGCGATAAGACGTTTATTCTGCTGCATGTGCTGTTGTATCAAAATAACTTTTAAAAAACAATAACATTCAGCGTATTGACTCTCACTGGAATGAATCACCATACTGACATTTTCCCAAACAAAATATACCTGCTTTCACAACGTGTGAACTTGAGTAACTTCCCATGGTTAATCCAGGAGGTTTAATATAATGTTGACACGCCCGTTGCTGTTTCAGTCTGTTGGCTTTCTACAAGGTTTAGGAAAGTGTTTTTGAAAGATTTTGACCAGAACCAGAAGACACGAGTGGTTTGGAGGGTTGATACAAGGGTGATAGAAGACCGACTTTATAACTGTCTTTATGTGACTCTGAAGGTTTAGGTCAGAATCCATCACTACACCCAGATTTCATGCCTGATCTCTAGTTTCTATCTGTAGTATCTGTTGTGTTGATGCTGGATCGTTCCTGTTTAGGTCCAAAGATGATAACTTCAGCTCTGTTTCGGTTCAACTGGAGAATGTTGTGGTAACATCCACACATCGATTTGTTCCAAGCACCTGTTCAGAGCAAGGATGGATTCAGAGTCACCTGGTGACATCGTAAAATGAGGAGACTTGACTAAGGGGGCGTCCCATAATTGCCGTCTTGTCTGTGTTGCTGTTGTGACTTGTCCACAGTGCAGTCCTGCATCTCACCCCTTCATTTCTGGAAAAAGGCACCAGGTCCCTCTAGACCAGGGGTGTCCAAAGTCGGTCCTAAAGGGCCGTCATCCTGCATGTTTTAGTTCTCTCCCTAGTGGTTGTAACAACCTCCTCAGCAAGTCAATGTTCTGCTTAGGTCTTCTAATGAGCCATCATTTGATGCAGGTGAAACCAGGGAGAGAACTAAAACATGCAGGATGCCCTCAGGACCGACTTTGGACACCCCTGGTCTAGACCTTGTATGCATAAAAGAGTTACCTCAGATGAATGGACCGATTGTTTTCTGCTGTTTATTGATGAAAATACCAATGAATGGTTTTGCCCTGCCAAAACTGAAGCTATTACTTAACGCATTGTTCAAATCCGTCATGTGACAGAAGAGGAAAACCTCTTCCAACAGCTGCATTTTTAGAGAGCAAACAGGTGACATTGCTGAGTGACAAGCACATGTCTGTTGATGATGGCGGTGTGGGTGTGTGAAGTCACTCAGGGGTTACATACTGTCACCAGAGACATAAGGTAAAAACCTTTGTCTGGTCCTTTGTATCAGCTGCACAGATTAGATCAAGTTAAATAATCATGAAAATATGTGCAGTTTCTTTTCTTGACGTTTATGTAATGTGGATTACACATTTCAGTGTGGATAATCCTCTCTGCAACGAGAGCACGCTTTGAGACTTTATGCTTCAAACCTAATTTGAGATTAATCCTGTAGATAAGAGAGAAAAAAAACACTTTCAGGCATTCAAGTATAATATGAATAACTGTTGCTATTTTTTATTAGAAACTGAATATTCACAAGCAAGTTATATATGAGAATAGTGGGGCGACAGCGGCTGAGGAGGTCAGAGTTCATCCTGTAGGGTTGATGGTTTGTCCATTTCAGTCACCTTCACCTGCTTTGCCTCCTGGTGGGCCAACGGGTCCAGTGGAGCCGTTTTCATTTCTGTCAGTCTGCCACAGAGCAGCTGAGGCTGCAATGTAACTCCACCATCAGCGCGTGAATGACTGAACGTAGTCTGAGGTGCTTTGGAGTCCTCTACACTAGACAGCTCTATGCAGTTCGTGCAAAAAGGAAGGTGTGTCCCTCATCAGTCGACGTTTCCATCCCCCCTGTGGCGGTTTTGTAATTGAAACCTCACTGGTTGAGCTTGTTTTCTGTAACGTTTAGTTCGTCTGATGAAAGAGTTGTGATTTATTTGCCTCCAAGGAAACAAAACATGAAAGTTCCTGCACCAGGAGAAGAATCCTCCCTGCTCTTTTGACAGCTTGAGTGATCGATTAGTTAATCAGC